TGCGCGGGTTCCCAGCCCGGGCCGGGGGCGCTGGGGGCTACGTAGGAGGGAGGGGCGCGAGGGCCGGCGGGTTGCATTTTCTCCCAGGTTTGGGGTAGAGGGTAGGGGCTGGGTCCCAGCGGCTTCCGGAAGCGACCTCAGAAGCACAGCAGGGATCCAGCGAGGGGCCCAGCTGGCCCAGAGGTACCCCGGCCAGTCTCAGGACCTATCCAAGGCCAGCGTGTTTCCTGCCTGAAACCGCCTTGTAGGCTGCACTTCGCTTAGTACATCTTTTCACAGCGCTGGGTCATGGGCAGAACCTGGGCTCAGGGGAGTCGGCTAGCACTTGAGGGTATTAGAAGGGACGATTAATAGAACCTGCTAGCTGTCCCTAAACAGTAAGTATTAATGAGGACTATGGCTGGAGCCAAAACTATGCTAGACGCCCCGAAACGCCAGAAGTGGGAAGACACAGGCGGTTTATCATTGAGGATAAAACCATTAGCTCAGGAGTCCACCTGCCTGACTTGAAGCTGCCTCTACTGCTGACTCTGAGCAGCAGTTCCTTCCACATGTTCCTTCCTTGATCATCTCTGAAATTGTGTAACGATCGAAAGTTACAGGAGTTACAGTATGACGTGTTGACTTTATCAGACAGGGTCTATCACTGCAGAATATACTCACTAAACGTTAGCTTTATTATTTTTAGTATTTGACCAAGTCCCTGCTTCTCCAAGCTCCCTGTCTGGTTCCCATGTGCTTTTATTTAGACAGTTATTCCTGGAAATTCTGGCATAGCCACCTCACAGATTGAGGAACAGGAAGTGTTTCTCCTAGTTTAGCAATTTGAGCAATCTTTCATATTGGCTAGTTAGTGAGCTTATAACATTAAGTGACCATTAATCTCCCTGGGTTTAGCTTCCTCATTTATTAGTTTAAGTGTCACTCATTTATTGCTTAGTGTGGAGTGTCGGGAGACTCAGGTTCTCCTTTTTCTACCCTGAACGTTCTTAGCAAAAGGGACTTTATCTTAATACCACCTGGGTGAATATGACAATTTGTAGGGCTTTGAATATTGAACAAACACAAGGAAATGAAAAATAAATGAAAAGGGAGTGAGTGGGTGTCTGCAGTTGGATAGAAGTGGCATGTAAAATGTTTAGGTCACAGAATAATCATCCTTCACATCTGTAAAGTAGGTTACAACTGTTCTTTCGGACTGAAGGGAGTGAAATAATACTGTACACACTGTTCAATCAACAAGCACCAGTTAAACATCTTGTCCTGACGAGACAGGCCATGCCCTGGCCTTTGAGAGCCTAGAGAGCAGGTAGAGATGCAGGAAACCCATAAGAACTGTCCCCTGTCCACCTCTCCATCCTGCTGTCTAATGATCTCTCCCTCTTTGCTCTGTAACCTCCAGATCTTCATTCCTCTGAATGAGCCAAGCTTCCTCCCTACAGCCTCAGGACTTTCTGGAAGTAATAAAGCAACAAAACTAGGATAACTGACATAAAGATCAGTTTATGTTTCTTTGGTCTCTTTGGTTTACTTGCTAGTTTGTAGAACACTTGACCACCTCTCTCTTAGCTGGCTCAGTTGATGTATATCTATGTTTTTCTTCAAGGATTACTGTAAATGCTATCCCAGTGTGGTTCTGAGCATATTTGTTTGATTTCTTAAATCTAAAACACAGGAGTGAAACTTTATAGGAAGACTCTGTTACCAGCTTCCTTGCATTGATAACAGCCTCAGCCACCCCACGTCCACCCTCTGTCCTGGACGTATGGTGTACTGATGCACTCCGATCCTCACCAACATCTTGGCCACCTATGTGCGTGAGCCCCTCTGTTTTTGCTCTGCTTGTCTTTTACCAAAACCACAGTTCAACAGATGAAATATTTTTGTCCTTAGATGTTAACCTCTTTTAAATGCATAAAATTTACCTGCAAACATAAGCTGAACAACATGGAGATTATTTACTTTGTGACTTATCTCAGCAATATTGGGTACTCCACCCCTGTGTCTAATTCCTCCCCTCCCAGGAGTCTAGGATCTAATTTTCATTACTCACAGGATGTGAGAGGCATAGAATGCTGGGACTGTTTTTAGAGCAGTAGCGTTTTTCTAAAATAATTAAGAACATGTATCCCTATCTTGGAACTATAGGAAAAATGTTAACTGGCTTGTTTTGCGGCAATTAAGAAGAAAATTTGGATGAGTAATTCAAAGCTAGTTTATAGGCATAATAGTTTTAGGATCCTCTAAATCTGAGGTGCTTCACCTGTGGGTTCCAGATTTTACATAAATACTTTCGGAAAGCAGTAAGATAGAAATTTCAGGACCCCCAAGAGATGGGTCAAAAGGGTTTCCTATAATATAAACTGTGGAGCCATAACGGGATATCACCTGCACTGTTCCTCCTTCTCCCTGGTGTTAGAGGTTTATGATTATCAAATATCCCAGAACACAATGGATCTTACGGTATCTGGTAGAATAAAATTAACAGATAAATGGGTGTAATATGTGATGCCTTAATTTCCTCAGAAGTTCTCATTTAACAGATTAGGAAGAAGTGTGTAATAATCAGACTGCAATTTGAAAGTTCTGTATTTGTCCTGACATAATTATGATTCCAGTGGTACAATATATGACTTTCTTAGAAACTTTTTTCCTTTAGGATAGGGTAAATATGATTTTCTATCTCTTGTAAGTTTTTCTGGGATTTGTTTCTTAAAAGGTGTAGGAGAAGGTACTATTTAAAAGTTATTATGTTAATTAACTAATTAATTAAACCAAGACACAGCGCAGTCATTTAAAAAACTGAGTAGCATTTGTCTCATAATAGACCCATTAAGTTTGAGAAAACCACAAGATCCTTAAGACAGTAAAGAAGAGTGGACAGGGATGCACATGGTGGGTATCTTTTGTCCACAAGAGCTTTATTCATTCTACCTGGCACACATACAGGTACAACTGTCACTTCACATTTTGCACCAGAGCATATGACACCACCTTTCATGCCTGAGATATTATGAATTATGAAAAATTCAAAACCTACAGGAAAGTGAGGACCACCCAGATTTTGTTCTGCAGTGGTTTTTGCCAACAGATACTTGTGCTCACAAATCTATAGTTTAAGACTCAAAATAATGAGACCAAGTAGGAAGGAAAAGGGTAAATATGAACAAATAAGCTTGTTTAAGAGTGTTTAGTTTCTCTTCCTTGGATTTTTGTGCAAGGAGGTAATTATCTCTGCCCTCATGAAAGGTAAATACTCTTATATTTGTAGTTGGTACTCATTTGGCAAGGACTCAGGAACTTCACTGCTTAAGAGCCTCCACCTGTTCATAATACAATGCAAAGCACTAATGCATGAATTCCCTATCTTTCTAGCACATTCTTTATTTTTGAATTTCCCATGTTTAAACAACTAAATGCTAATAAGAAATTTATTTTAAATTAGAACTAATTTTTCCATATCAGATATACAGATGTGCCCTCTAGAAACTATGGAATTTTCTTTCCAATTCAATGATTTGTTCACCAAAAAAAAAAAAAAGAAAGTTTAATTTAAAAATAATACCTCCAGGTATTATTTAGGTTTCTTCCCTGAAGTGAGTGCCTTTCTGATGTTGTAGGCAACGCAATAATGAAACAGTAGTCCCTTAAAACTGCCAAGGTGGTTAAAAGCCATAAAACTTTTTTTAAAAAAAACAAAGCATATTATAGAGTAATCCTATGAGAAACAGTGGTTAAGTAAAAACTTGAGCTGTTTAGTTCAGTGTGTTAATAAAGGGAGACTATCCATTTCTACTCCAACAGTGATTAGTTTTTAAATTTTTGTATATCTTTTAAGGTACTCTTAGAATATTTGAAAGTAATGGGTATGGATTTTAATATATAATCTTTGATCATAGAAATGTGTGTTGACAAAAGTAATCATGGCCCAATAGGCCATGTAATATAAGAATTTGATCTCCTTTTTTAATAATGTAAGAATTTAGTCTCCTTTTTTAGTAGTTCTTCATATAATTGAACATAAAACACTAATATGGACTTTGAAAACTTTTAGTATACTCTTGTTACATGTGTTTATTAGCTTATTGTTCACCTTCTTGAATAACTGCAGAAAAACATAAAATTTAATCTTTTTGTACCTTTGGTCTGAGGAGGTCCATAGCAGTTAGCTTCTGACCAGTTAATGCTAACAGGGATTATTACTGCTCTAAGAAAACCCGGGAAGTCAAAAAAACATATTTTTAAATTTATCAGGGCCAAGAAAACCCATCCTTGAGTTTATTTAATTAAGAGGTGACTATAATTGGAATGTTCTTGAGAGTTTTACTATGTTGTTAAATTTTATGCTTGAAACAGGCAATGATAAATCAATAATTTAGAAAAGGAGAGGTGGGATGTGGTTTCTTCTTGGGAACACCAGATTTTAGTTAAAGATATGGAAGGTTCAGTTGACTTTTTTTTTTTTTTTTTTTACCATTTATAATAACACAGTAGAAGGAGTTTAGTACAGGGACAGCAGAGACTGGAGAGGGGCTGGGAAGTGCAGTGCCTATTCATATCAACTTGTGGGTCCAAGATAAAACAATCAAGTAGCAAGTTTTTGCATCATGCAGTAACTGTAATTAACAGGCTTATGGGGTGGGGATTTAAAGTGGAGAGATAGGAAAAGCAGTGACTGGATAGTAGTGGGAAAGACTAACATGGGATCAAGGCACTGGAAGGCAGAATTATTGAGTATAATGTTTTTTATTACTGTTTTTCTGTAGAAATAAGCAACACGAAGTTTCAGTTGGATTATGTGGTGTTACAACTACTTCAACCCCTGAGTGTATTTTTAGGTTCAAAGCATGTACTGATACACAAAACAGGGGGTCAGACCTTCTCAAACTTGCTTTTCAAGCTGGGCAGAACATGCCCTCGGGATCTAGAATTTTCAGAGGTATTTGCAGTAGTGTGACCTGATATCTGATCTTTCTCCTTCTCATGCTGGACCGTGCCTGCAGCCCAGCACTGAGGCTGCATGCTGGATCACATGCTCCCTGTAGGTTGTGTAGGTTGGAAGGCTCCAGTTTGTAACTTGGAGGGGGGTGGGGGCGGCGCTTAGGCTCACAGTGTTTCTTTCTGGCTTTCAGCCTCATTGAACCCCCTCCTCCCAAGGTTTTTAGACATGGTCTACCATCCTAGACTGACCAACAGCTTGTAAGATCCTACTCAGAAACATTTCAGTGGGGAATGGAGTTAAGACCAAGAAGTTTAAATGACCAGATTCTGGAAGACTGGATGAGTAGAGGGGTATCTTATGTGTAGCTTCACACTTAGATTGCTTCACAGTATCTTGTTTCAACAGTCATATTTGACCTATATATTTATAGACAATGTATTAACATCACATCTTCTTTTTCAGAACTACTTAAAGCATGAACAAACAAAGTAAGTAATTTAAGTGTTTACTTTCCTCCTAAAATGTTACATCTTTTATTAATGTGTTATTTGTCTTAATGCTTTAAATTCAGTTTCCAAAAGAATATAATTTGCTTTGTGTTGTTAATACTCCAGAGTCCTAACTCTGGGCCAGTATTTTGACTGCAGAGAAGATGTACACAAATACCCACTACCACTAATTTTTCAGTTAAATATAAAAAAGTCTTAGATAAACCTAAGGAATTTTAGGCTTATTGGGAAATATGTTGTATAATTTGTATTCCATTTCATCCAGATCATTTCCTTTTTCAGTGTGTATCTTACATACATGAAGACTATTCAAATCATATTAATTAACAGACAGTGAATTTAATATGACAGTACCTTGTAATAAAATCCTCAAATACATCCCCAATATATATTTTATAACATACACATGTGAATAGGTTTAAATAAATACAGATATTTATGTTCTGGCTCTTTTTCTCAAGACTATTCTAAATAAGATGGGTATTGACAAAACATAATTAAAGACTTCATCTTTTAAAAAATCTAAGGTTCTGAAGAGAAAAAAATACATACAGAGAAAATATGAAAAACAAAATCCTGTTTTCTGAAGAATTTCTATTCTCCACTTATCTCCATTTAAATAGCCAAAGAAATATTTATCTTTACCACAACTGCAGCCTTGTTATATATATTAGGTACTCTTTAGGACCAGAAAACTCAACTTTCCTTCATGAAGTGTCACGATCTTCTCTTAATGTTTGCTATATTAATGTAATTTTATTAACAAAACTCAAAGCTTTTTAAATGTAAATTTGTATAGTATTAAGCTATTTTCTTTGCTATAAGCTTTGGGATGTTTCAGATCACCTAACAAAAATTCGCTGGGCCATGGGTACAATTACCTTTTAACTCTCCAGCTTCCTGTCTGTATAAATGTATGTGTTTGTATGTATGTGTGTGCATAAATAGAAACAATGTATATATGTATGTAAATATGCATAAATAGAGAAATAATAAAATAACTTGTTAGCAATATGAAAGTCCTATAATCATAAATTATTTTAAGGTGCACTTCACAAATGCAGAAATTAATCTGAAATTCATATGCTCTTTGGTCTACTTGACGCCTTGACCATTCACTTATTTTCTCTTTGTATGAAGTCACCCTGGAATTTCTGAAATCATGATCATTGCTCTGATACCAAATCCCAGAGCTTATGAGCTCCTAATTTCATGAATCTGTCATATGTGTGGATACATGTGTGGGTATCTACTATTGTTCAAATATTGGTGCCAGGTAAGGGGTGCCAAAATGTGACATACCATTTAAGGAAGGGTCTTTAAGTCAGATTTGCAGTGTTTTTCCCTGAGAACTATTGAGTCTGATCCTGTTATTTCCAATTCAGGTTGGGAGTGGGGGGCTGTGGGCAGAGCCTTGAGAGCTGGAGAACTAGGAGCTTGGCCACTCACCTGAAGCAAAGAATCAGAAGGAGTGGCTGGGATGGAAGACTTGTGATACTGCAGAGATGTGCAGTAATTCGGGATATGCTGCAGTGTCTGTCTGTGCAAGGAAAAGCCCTGACTGAAGTGGAGGATTCTCTGTTGCCTGCATATGAACAGTGTCCCTGGACTCCATTCTGCTCAAGTTGTTATGAAGCCAGTAGAATGGAGGAGAAAAGGGGTTGGGGCACAGTTCAGCCTTCCTGTTGAACCCACATGAGTTGAGTGGTCTTTGAAGGCCCAGGGTAGAGAAAAACACAAGAAATGTGTCAGATTGAAAGTCTGGCCAACATTTTGTTCTGTACTGATGCCGTGTCCTCATGATTCAAAAAGAAACAATTCTGAATTTACAGTTAATAAGCCATGGGAAAGAGAGGAGAACAAGGTGTTAAGTGTCGTGTCCACCGGACCACAGATTCCACGGCAGAGCCAGCATTGCCATAGAGCCCACTCAGGACAGAGATGCTCAGTAAATATTTTCTGGCTGGGGTGGTTGCTAAAGGAATGACTGGAGAAACACAAATATGAAAACTAGGAAATTGAACCATTTGTGTTGATATTAAGCTTATTCAAACCACATTGATTAGCAGCTAACAAAACTTAATATGCTTATTTAGTGTAATTAGGTCAGTTACGATTTTTATCAGTCAAAATCAGTTAAATATTGGGACTTTCCAAATTTAATGGGCTAGTTCCAGAGTAAGCATAAAAAGGATATTTAAATATTGAATTATGTGTATTGTTTTAAATATTTAAAGCATAGGTCTTATATCAGTGATTATAGATATCTTTATAATCACCTATAGTCTATTACCAACCCCACATCCAGCTAGTTTCATTCATCTCTTTCTTCACAACCTATACATAGTTTTAAAACAATCTTTTTTCTAATACCAACAAAAACAAAGTATGGAAAAGAGTATGCTCATCAGGCATATTTGAAAACTAGAAATTCAGCCCCAGTAACTTAGCTGCCTATTTTCTCCAAAGGGAATTAGTTTGAGACAAACTGATAACAGGCACAACTTTTGTTGTGAAGAATTCGCTTTATCTATTTCAATATACACAAGAGCATATAAATGAAAACTACTTAAGGACAGTGCATTTTTCTTTCTAGTATGTATTGTTTAAGCAGATGAATGTTTACCTCTCCTTGATTTGCAGATGCTCAAATGAATGCTCCTCACCCAGGAACACATTTACCAGCTGGGTATCCCCCTGAATATCCTTCGGCAGCATATCCAGGTAAAACATTGGCCTCAAAAGTAAAAAACCAAAAATGTATCAATTATTGATATTCCCCAAAGGGTGTGTGTGTCTGTCTCAGTATTTATTTTAGTAGTGTCTTTTACTGAAGTGAGATAATGAAATTGGCAGCATAGTTCTTGATTTTTTCCTTTGACTACATATTATCATAAATATCATTAAAATATTTTTTTATTTATACAGGATAGTAAAGATGTAGTGTTAATAAAAACAGTAGTGAGTTGACATTTAGGAAATAAAATATAAGGTTGTACATATATTACATCCCAAAATACACATATTAATAAAAGATTTTATTGATTCTCCATTTGTTTTGAAAATTATGCTCATGCAGTCACATTTAGGAGATTTATCTCCTGGTGTTTTTGAGTCATTTATTATCTGGGGTTAATTGTATTCAGTGATTGTCATGCAAAAGAGTTGACTGCTTAAATCTGGAAGCTGGAAGCTGTATAAACGTAGCCACCTGGGATCATTCTCATTTTTATTTTGTAACATACAAAAATGTGAAAGCTTTGCTTTTCTATACATGCTCAATCACACCTTGCCTTTCTAAGAAAAGTAACTGAGTCATATTGCTACATATCAGGGAATATGTCATTTCTTTTGAACCACTGCAGAGAAGACTTCAGAGATTTTCATTTAGACAAATGCCGTTATCAACATTACCGTAACTTTACCAAATGGCAAAGTTCATGGTGTACCCAGATTTCCAAATAGGCAGGCTACCCACATCTTGAGGGACTGTCCTAGGGATTTAGGATCAAAAGGAATCTGGTTTGTATGCATTTTGTATTCTACTCAGAGCAAACAAATGTACTTGAGTGCTGAATGGCTTGTTTAGTTGTCTAGCCAGAAACCTCTCAGTGGGGCCTGGATCTCATCCAGATGTTTGCATTTAAAAGAATGTGAAGTAGAAAGATTCCAGGGCTCTAAGGTGCCTATACTTAAGTATTTACTTGTAAACTGTTGAAAACACTAGTACCAGGGCACCATCCAGGAAAACTGAAGCAGAAGCTCTGGTTCTGGGACTCCGGTATTGGTAATTTGTTAATGTCCCAGGCTATCCTAATGTGTAGCCAGGGCTGAGAACTACTGCTCTAAATTTTTATATGGTTGGTGTCTGGAGAATTGTTAGCAAGTCTATACTGTGCGTCCAAGGCACTTGGAGTATGTTTTAATCCATAGCTAAATAATAGCAGGTGATATATAAGAGGAAATAGCTAGTTTCATTTCTCAAGTCCAAGGCCAATATAGCAGAGGTCTTTTATGACAATAATGCTAACAATAGTGATGGATTAAAATTGAGAATTTACGTGCCTAATGTGGATTAACTCATTTAATTCTCAGTCTTCTGGGGTAAATGCTATTAACTAATCCTCATTATGCAAGTGAGAAAATAGGCAGAGAGAGGCTGGATCAGGCTTCAAGTACTCGCTTCTGCATTTAATAGTTGTGTGGTGGTTTTAAGCAACTTGCTGTACCTCCAAACCTTGGTTCTTATCTACAAAATGGGCATAATACTTCCTAATTCAGGTGGTTTGGAGATTAAATAAGAGTATGTGTAAAACACCTAGCACAATGCTTTATAATTAATAAATGACATACTTGCTGACTAATACATTAACAATGTGTTAAATCAATTGGTAAATTGAAATATTACCCAAATTCAGGTAATTCCATATGTTTAATCCACTGATTTGGAAAATAATCAATTATCCACTCAAAGAATTTTGTGAGGATTTAATAATGCTAATAGTATAACAAATTAATTCACATCTCCTCACTCTCACAGGTTTGCCTGTGGTTTGATCTTTGCACTGTAGTGAATGATGTTTAAAAGTACATACCTGTATAATAACATATATCACAGATAGTAGTCAGTGGATATGTCATTGGCTTCCTCTTGCTTTCAGGATAAAGATCAAAATGCTTAGTTTGGTCCACCATACCCAAGGGGCTCCTCTGCCTTCTCCTTAACTGTTTCTTAAGTCTGTCTCTCTTCTGTTCTGGGAAACTGGCCTTTTTTCAGATTTTTTTTTAAAGGTCTTTTGTTTGTTACTATCCCAGGACTTCTTTCTGAAATGTTCCTTCTCTGGCACTGGTCTGCTCAGCTCCTTTGTATCCATTAGATCTCAGCTGAATGTGGTCCTCAGGGAGGCTGTCCCAACTCCCTCCCTTTCTCTCTCCCCATCCAAACATAGTCATAAAGCCCCGGTGCCTCCCTTCAAAGCACTTGTCTCTGATTCTAGTTAATCATGTAATCATACTGGTGTCTCCAGGCCTTGCCAAATGTGCCTTGAGGGGAAAAAACTACTGTCAATTCTATTTACATAGGAAATGTCATTTGTTAGGATTCTAGAATTATAATTTTTTACAGAGTGGTTTGGTCCTAGAAATGCCGGCTTACAGCCTTTATTTTGGGCTTTCTACTCAGTGGCATCTCTCTTTTCCAGGAAGGCGTTCCAAAATTTTTATGTACATGACTCAAGGTCACTCTTGATTTTCTTTCACTTTCTTAGATTTCAAGCATATTTTCATCTGAGTTTTGAGTGAAACATTTAAGATTGTGGGCCAACTCTATTCATAGTCTAAAACACTCCAAATAGAAGTGGATGTGAAGCCACAGGTATTTCATTGAAAAATCACTGAAAGATAAAAATACAAACCTTAAGCTTCTCAGAAACAGAATTTCTGAGTGTAAATTGTAGTTCGCAGATAACTAGGATAATCCTAAGTTTAAGTTTGCATTTTTCTCTACAGTTACAATATTTCACATATTCATATTTCAGGACCTCCAGGATCTACTGGGTACCCTGCTCCCCAGCTTGGCTACCCTGCTCCCCAGCCTGACTACCCTGCTCCCCAGCCTGGCTACCCTGCTCCCCAGCCTGGCTATTCAGTCTCACCAGCTGGCTATTCAGGTGGTGGCCCAGTCGGCTTTCCTGTCCAACACCAGCCAATGTCTTATCAGTCAGGTGGGCCTGCAGGGGTACCGTGGATGCCAGCACCACCACCTCCATCAAACTGTCCACCTGGATTGGAATATTTAAGTCAGGTATTTCAAATACATAAGAGAGTCTAAAAACAAACCTGTGCTTCCAGTTTACTTAATGAGATTAACAATTGACTAATTCACTTAAGTCTGAAATGGTGAAACTATTCTTTTGTTGTTACTAACAGATTAATTCTTCTAGGTCAGATTTACTTTTAAAGCAAAATGCAAATGTCTTAGGAAATTGTATTTTCTATGATCTTGAGTATAATTTACAATAATAGACAATAACAAGCCTTTATTAAGCACTATTTTCTAGGCTTTGTTCCTAAGTAGAATACATGTGTTAACTCAGTTAATCCTTTAGAAACTCTATGATGTGTAGTTGCTATAATTATCATCGTTTTACAGAAGAGAAACTGAGGCCTAGTGAAGTTACATAATTTGCTCAGCATCAAAATGCAGAGGAAGTGGGAATGGCTTTTTACTTCTGGAACCTTGGTTCTAGATCCTGTGCCTTTTAATCCCAACACTGAATAATTTCCTAGGAGTTGGAAAGAAACTCAAACTCAGTTTAGTGTTGATTTTTCAAAAGTGGTACTAAAAAAGGAGTTAATAATTTATGTATAATTTGGCCCACCTTTTATTATAATTAATAAATTTACACTTTTATGTTGCTTTTGTTCTTGGAAGACCCAGTTTTATTAATGCTACCAAAAGGAAAAAAAATATTCCTGGATTTTAACATACTCCATGATGGCGTATCTCAGCAATGTGAGATATTAGTGTTTGTTTGCCATTAGAAATCCGGTAAGTTAGTTTTCAGTAAATGAGTTGTCACTCTTGCACTCTCTGGACTAATTTAATTTCCCACAATGCACTTGGGCAGCATATAATATAAGAATTTTGTTAGTTCCTAAATTCTCTAAGAAATACCTTATGTAGATTTTTTAAAATTACAATATATGTAGGGGAAGTTATCACCTACTACAAATGATGGTATCAAATACACTTCTTAAGAAGAAAAATGTTTAGATTTGTGGAAAAAAGCTCTTTGAGGGGATAAAAAGGTCTTAATATTTCCTAAGCCCTTTCTGGAAGGAACATGTTTTTCTAATTTTCATAGGGATTCCAATGTAAGTCAATTTTGTTTGACCTGAATTTGTCCACATTAATAGTGAAATATTCAATAGATGTTTCTTCAGTTAAAAATGCATTAACTTTAATTTTATACCTAGAAGTAGGATAAATAGCTATTAAACATTGATAATAATGATAATTGATTATATGCATTATTTTAAAATATAAAAACACTAATGTTAAATTCGATGGTTTAATAATATGATATATGCTTACAGCTTAATTTTTTTTTACTATAATAGATAGATCAACTATTGATTCATCAACAAATCGAACTTCTAGAAGGTATGTATACATTGTATTTATCTTATTTCTACGAAGAGAGGACATTTATGCAGATAAAGGCATATCACAAACCACAAATATGACACTTGGTGATGTAGATGGGTAAACCTGGTTATCACAAATGTCTTTCTTCATGATAATGAAATGATGATGATTATCCACAGTTCATTTCGTGAAATTGGGAATCAAGTGGTAAAATAATATTATGCCAGACATCTGTCCTCATAATACAGACCCTAACTCAGAAGGAAACCAATCAAAATCTACTTGTGTTGCCCCTTTTCTCTAGAAATCTGATTCTGTCACTTTGCCTGACCTCTATTGCTTCAACTCTTTTTTCCCCAGTTTGTGATGACCGTGAGATTTGTCATAGAGCTGCCTGCAATAGTTCAGTTACTTTAGTACACTTCCAAAACAAGTGAACTTGTTCAATTTGGATGCGTTGGAAAATTGCCTTACGGCCCACAGCTTCTCTTGGGAGCTCAGATAAACCCTGTAAAACCTTTGTTCCATGGGCTGTGGATGATCATCTTGGGTGCAGGGACACTGCACAGGAGGGTGCTGTCTGGCAGGCAAATAGGCTGAAACTCCTAGAACACCACTCCTATTCCTGTGAATGGGGCCTGACTCCTACACATGTTTCCTTAGGTCAGCGCTCCTCAGGGCACGATAAACTTAAGAAGCCACTGAATGTTTCAGGGCTACTGCCAGGGGAAAGAGAACCTGGGTGGATTCATTAACTATAGTGTCTTCCTTATAGCTATAAAGAGTTCAGTGAAAACTCTGCTGGATTTTTAGAATATATCTGTGAAATCTTTCTTCACATCTCTACAAAGTTCTTTTCCACCGATAGAAATTATGTGAATTGTACTAGTATAGTAAAAGATTTGGTGAGACCACACAATTGTTGTTTATTACATTAAAATCACTTGTAATGTAAATTGTTAAATATTTATAATATATATTTATATATTTTTATTTGTTTGTTTATACTGTGTTTTCATTGGGAAAGCTCTTTGTTGTATGATAATTTGTAGTCTCACTTTTTTAATGATTTATTTAGAGAATTTACTTTTGAGATTATAACCCCCCCAAAAAAAACAGACACCATACATTATATAGCAGTCCATTTATAGCTTTTAGATTGTAAGTTTTATATATATGGAAATATAAATGTATTAATCATGAAATGTAAACTTCAAATTTAGTAGTTACGAATTATTCAGTTTTTTAAAAGGGATGTCTTTCATTTTCTTATTTTCTTTTTGTCTCAAATTCAAACTTTATATTTTAACATTATGAGTAGTATAAAGAAATTGAAGATTACTTGGTTTATTTTTAGCATCTGAGACTATGGCAGGCAATTATACATTTCCCAATTCAAACCTTAATAGACAATAAAGACATAGCTATAGAATTCTTTTGTTTTATTTGTTTTCATTTTTAAATAACCAGAAGGAAACTTATATTGTGTAAGACCGCTGATTTCATTTTGCAGATAAGGAAAAGAATTTTGAGATTAAGCTACTTAATAAAACTCTTAGGTAATAGATCCCATGTCATGAATCAGTTCAATTTTTCTCTCATGAAATATTTGACTGGTGGACATTAAGGTAAAGGGAGGTTCCTTTAGAAGCAGAGTGAGGACCTCTCTGAATCAGAGCAGAGACACTTAAGGGAGGTCATGGTGATAAAATTTATGAAGAACATCTCCATCTGACCAACAGTCCATCCACGCCAATACTAGAGAGTGGTTTTTGTCTCCTATGTTTCTATTAATTGCTCATTATTTGGTGGCTTCTGACATCCTATGACCCATGTTAATGA